TATGACATTATAATATCAGAAACACTATTACAGTTATCTTTAAAATAACAGGAACAGCTCTACTGTTCCATACAAAATAACAGGAACAGCTCTACTACTCTGTAAAACTATTCTCTCTAAAAAATAATATCAACAACTTAACTATTCTACATAAAATGAACTGAACCATTACCCCTAAAATAACATTAACAATTTTTTATTATATTTTCAATATTACACAAATTCGGAACAAACTTGGACTGACTCTACATTAGAATTCATCAATACTTAAAATCGTACAGACGGTAACAGAGCGGTATCTACTGCTCTAAGATCCAAGTTACGTCAAACAAACTGTAGGTATCTTATTAAGAGTATCATTACCCGACTCACTCCTGTTTCAGAGAAAGCAATGTTGTACCGCCTACCTTACAGAACCGAAAACCATTTGTAAGTAAGTGTAATATGGTTAATGGGTCTATCTCTCATGTTCCTACTGGGGTTAGCTGTTATTAAATTATAAGTATTAAAGTTATATCCAGGATCGTCATTAAGGAAAAACGTCCATTGTAGTCACAAGGGCGTGATGGGTAAGACGTGGCATTTCATTTGTGTAACTTGTACAGTTGTTTTTCAAATTTTGAATTTAGTTATATATATATTAAAAGTGGCCACGTACATATTTTAACTTGTCACAATCTTTGGAAGGGGAAATTCTGAGCGTTATTAAATGTAAACCTATTAGTTTGCTTTAAAAAAGGTTAATTTTTATGGCAACCAAGAAGCATAAACTTTATTACACATCTTTGTTTCATGAACTTATATTAAATAAAAACGCTAAAACCCCATAATTGTATTCGTTAATATTGTTAAATAATCACGTTCATATATCTGATTATGATGCGTTAGTGCAAGTAATATCATTCAAAAAATATCAAACCTTTCCAATTCTCACACATTTTCAATATTGCTAGTTAATTAACCAACAGCGTGTATTTTTATGTTTTTTCTTATAGCACGGCCACATCGGTCTATCTGCAGTATCCACCGAGGGGAATCGAACTCCTGATTTTAGCGTTGTAAATCCGTAGACTTACCACTGTCCCAGCGGGGGACTAACCAGCAGCTCCAACACAATTGTGTTCTTGGTCATACGACTCGTTGGTCGTCAAATGTTTATATTTGTCCACCGCCGAATGTTTATATATAATTATTATATTAACGTGTAATTAATATTATGATGCGTTTTATAATTATTAATTTTCACTTCCTAACTCCTAAGTGTTTTCATTCCCCCGACAATTTCCATTTGTCACGTAAAAAATAATTTGACCTTGCCGTTGCAAGTAATGTAATGAGTTGGTAGTTTTCCTAAATCTAATCAAAAACACCTTAGGTGTGAGAAAAAAAGGTTGGGCCAAAAATAATTCAATGTGCAACTTAAAGAAATGAAATCAAAACTGGCGGCCAAACTGGTAGCTGCACTTATAGTATTGATAAGAATTTTATAGCAAATATTCATTCATTAGTTAGTTAGGCTGCGTTATTTGTTCAATTTGCGCCGTGTACGAAACTCGAACTTCCCCAACCAAAGTTCCTAGATCTGTCTCATACAGCTTTCTATACGTACTTCAATAAAAAAAATTTATGAGATGGATTTTTGAGTTGTTCATTAGTTTAGAGAAATGCTTGATTGACAATAACCTCACATTCAACACAAACTTTTTATTTACGATAACCCTACGATCAATACAAACTTTTAATTCAGATAGATTTTTGAGTTGTTCATTAATTTAGAGAAATGATTGATTGATAATAACCTCACATTCAACACAAACCTTTTATTTACGATAACCCTACGATCAATACAAACTTTTAATTCAGATAGATTTTTGAGTTGTTCATTAGTTTAGAGAAATGCTTGATTGACAATAACCTCACATTCAACACAAACATTTTATTTACGATAACCCTACGATCAATACAAACTTTTAATTCAGATAGATTTTTGAGCTGTTACTTTGATAAAACATTTTACAAAAAAAGTGAATAAAAATAACTTCATGTTATCCTTTATAACTTGGGAAGTCATGATAATACTACTAGACTTCAGTCTACCTTGAACAGACAGCTATACTCTGTATTACAAATTGTCATCAACTAAATATACAAGGAGGTGACGTTTTCTGAACTATATTACAGACTTCTGTGGATATCTTATATTAAGGAAATTAAATTAGTTTTTTTCAAACGTGCAACACTCGGAAAGAGACTGACACGGACCACGTTACAATGTTAGTTTCTACAGTTGAGGGTTAACCTATTAGTCAACACTGGCTGCGTAATGTCACACCTCAGCTACTGACCGATGATATTAATATGAACGGTGGAAGAACCCAAACTACCGATTGACGACACTGATATGAACAGAAGAAGAACCCAAACTACCGACTGATGACACTAATATGAATGGTGGAAGAACCCAAACTACCGATTGACGACACTGATATGAACAGAGGAAGAACCCAAACTACCGACATACGACACTGTTATGAACGGTGGAAAAACCCAAACTACCGACTGACGACACTGTTATGAACTTTGGAAGAACCCAAACTACACTCAAGTACCATCCAAATATCCCTACCTGACTGATATGCGAATATCTACTCTAGATCAAAATGCCACATCTTGGTAACTACAAGAACACGTTCAATAAACCAAACTGTGTTTGTTTTGTTGTTTTTTCAAATGTCGCACATAATTCTGTGAAGTTAGAATGAGTGAAATTTCAGTCGAGTTGGTTTCGAATTCCCGGCTCTGCTAACTAGGAAAATGGTTTATAACCAACTACTACAAATGTATTTCCACTTCATTGGTTACTATGGGCTAATTTGGAAGAGCTCTTGAGCTAGGATGGGACAGGCTCACGAATATTTTTTTACAGTACTGTGTATAGTATGTATAGCAATATACATACCTTTTTAATGTCTTCTAGGGTGTGAATTTCTGGTGACAGGCCACCGTGAACACAAAGGAACTGTTGGTTCATAAGAGCCGCTAAAGGTAAGCAATCAAATGCCGCCATGCTAGCATCGTAGACTCTCTCCGAATACTTGATTTTACCTGTAAAACACGCATAAAAGGTAAAGTTACAAGTTGCCAAACTTTAACCACTTCTATTTGTTTAAAAAAAAACAACTTTTCAAACGTCAAAATGACTGTCATGAGTGAGGTACATATCAACATTGTTATCCGGTCAGCCAAACAAATACGCTACATCTTATGATGTCAGAAAAACACGTAGGTTCATGAAGTCTCAACATAAAATGATATAAGCCCTATAACCCGAGCGCTTTCGAAAGGTGTACCTTTCTTCTTGAGGGGGTAAACTGAGAATGGTGGTGTAACTGAATGAGTGATATATATATAATGGGGATTGAGTGACGCCATGAAGGTCACCTGAACTTCCAGGAAGTGTTTTTGTATATTTTTCAATGTATTGTTGTTAATTGTGTCTCATTTCAGTTTTTTGTTGTTGTTGTTGTTTGGGGGGAGTTGTAGGTGTTTTATTTCGTAACAAAAGTCTTCACTTTGTGGAAAAGGGCATTCATTGTTCCAGATTGGCCTACGTTGTTGTATCGAAACTCGTTGTTTTACACCGCTTTGCTGTGCGAGTTTTCGGCTTCCATGAAAAACACCAGACGATCACTTTCAATGGCAGACCGGCAGAGAAGGGGGTTCTTGGCAGAGATAACAAGGGGCACCAAGATGGTTAAAACTAGGTCATCTCAAATATTTGTTTCATAAAAAAAAATTAATGTAAATGAATTTTAAAGTTCAAACCATACAACCTTACAGAATTTGAACTATGCCACGGTGTGTTTTAAATCCATCCTAAACGTATTCCATTCACAGTGGTTTTCTACTACCTTTAATGTGGAATATGATAATTTACTTACTTCTTATGTGGATTGTACTGTAAAGCATAACGTCAATTTTCTTAATAATAATAATTGTATAAAATTAAGAAAGAAGCAATTAACTTAGAGCCCTCAGCAATTTCTTGCTAGTTTTATATCATTAAAAATATTTTATTCCTCTCTGAACAGTTATTTTGCATTTTCTTAAAAATACAGCCTCTAAGTTAGTTAAAGGGATCATACTTCAGATTTAATACATTTCACTATCACTGGTAGGTTTTTTCTTCCAAAAACTCTATAAAAATATGTGCACAAACCCTTTGTTTTCAAGATTTATTTTAAATGGCTCATAAAATTGGTATTAAATATCATCTAATTTGTTTTAGTCTATCTTAATGAAATATTTCTGAATACGTAATAAAATTTACATTACGGTATACATACTTAAAATGAAACACAATGTAATATTAAATACTTACAAATAAAAAATAAATAAACAAGTCCTACATCCAATGATATATCATTTTTAAGGTCTTAACTACGTTTATCCTATTCACCAGACAAAGTACTATCGTGATTCATGACAGAAAGAGACAACGGGTGGACATCGGAAAACACTATATTTTCCAAAAAGAAAGGCACCATCACATAGCGGGTTTCAAGAACACCTTTTGTTTGGTAAAGGCTCAGGTGTATCCCCGAAACATAATATATACCCATAGCGGCATTGCACCATCAAAATGTAAACAATTCGCTGCGAACCAAATACATATAGGTATCTACAGTAACATGCCAGTACATTAACATATGCAATAAAAAAGTTTCTCAACCATCGGTTTGTCACACCCGCCTTGAAGGTCTATGGGGTTTCACAAAAACAAACCAACCAAAAACAGGCAGAATATTCACATGTAAGTCGTAATGGTTTTTTCTTTGTATCCCACAGTTTATGGAGGCAGCGAAGCGGTCCATGGTTTCGAAAAAAGGTTAAGAAACGCTGTTCTGGATAATGCGGTCTCTATAATATTCACAATTACTGATAAAACTTTGCCAGCTGCAAACTTTATACCATAAGAACTATGTCGGTGTATACTGAAAGTTCACTGAAGTTTCGTCTGAGCTATAGTATTGTTATAATGTACAGCCAAACAGCCAGGAAATCAAAAGACCAACGGAAAGACGTTAATTTATCTTATTCGAATTCATCCTTTTTACTTCAATCCTGATAAACCTGAATCTCTAAAGTTAATTACATATAAATATTTAGTGCTTCTTGGAGTTTGCAAGAAGAATAAATAAATTAAACTGAACAGATAAAACTAGTTTAGTTTCCTGTAACGCACATTATGTTCGTTCTTTGATACATATAATAACATAGATACAAATAAGGTATGAAGTTCATAGAAGTTTTTGACAACCAATAGACAGTTCCCACGTGACTCCAATAAATAAAAGCAGCACAGAGCGGCTTGACTGAATGTCATGAAATATTATATTACTCAAGGTAGAATTTCTAAACTCGTGTTTCATATTATAGGTGGTGTTGGAGTTGAAAATGTAAAAATATTTGTTCCATTTTAGAGTGATATTTTAAGTATGGAAGTACTTAATAGTAGGAATCGACAAGGATTCCAAATAATTCACGAGCCGAAAAACCACCCTATCTAATTCCTAAGCGAAAAACTGGTCATTCAAAGTATTGGTTACGATATATTATGCGTATATATACTAATAATACGCTAAAAAGGTCGCTAACATTTCCAGTATAAC